AAAATAAAATTTTTAATGTGATAAGTTTATTTCGTGAAACAATATACTGAGCAAATTAAGATAGATAAAAGATCAGACTGGAAAGTTCAGATCTACACATTAACTGCAATTGTTGCATAAATTAAAAAAATGGCAAAAAAATACTGTCATGAGTTAATGATTTTTGATAAATTAACGAGTTAAACCGAATAAAAAGTTTAAGAGTATAAACCTCAAATAAGCTGTACCAGATACAGTAAATTTAAAAAGTACAAAAATAAATTTGCCGCTATCTTCAAAAGATACGCCTGTTTTTTATATATAAAAAAGCAATTGCTTACATTTAGCGCATTTGCAGTAGTAGTAGTAGTAGTAATAGTAGTAGTAGTAGTAGTAGTAGTAATAGTAGTAGTAGTAGTAGTAGTAGTATTAGTAGCAGTAGTAGTAGTAGTAGTAGTAGTAGTAGTAGTAGTAGTAGTAGTAGTAGTAGTAGTAGTAGTAGTAGTAGTAGTAGTAATAGTAGTAGTAGTAGTAGTAGTAGTAGTTTCGCTTTTTGTGAACAAATATCCTAGTAAACTCACTCAAATTTTCATTCAAGAAAACCTGAGCAATCAACTTTCAATAATACAATTCAAATCACTTTCATACGACGCGGTTTAACTTAGCGAATATTATCTGCAGGGAAAAAATTTTAGCCAATCGGATATGTATTTTAGATTATGCAACGTTTAACAGTTTTTCTCGATTAAACTACTAAGAAAATTGTACTGCTTGATATCATCGAGTCAAAAAATACATAAATATTTTTAAAAATGTTCTTTTTATCTAAGTTACAAAAACAAGATAGTGTTATGTGACTATTACTTATTGTAAATAAGCAAGATATTAAATATAATATTAGGTATCCAATTTTTTTTTTGTATTGTTTAAAACCGTTAGTTTACTAGTTTTATGGCGCAGCATTATGTTTGTAACCAAGACTACTATCTAAGTTTTACAAGCTTCCTAAAGATGTTTCTTTACATAAACAATAAAATCGAATTTTACTGTGAAATTCAACTTTTTATTTCTAAAATTTATTCTATGTAAAGTTTAACTTTACATAAAAAAGAAATGAGTTTTAGAAATGTGCATATTTGTTGTGAACATTTTTCATCTGGAATCAAAGAGTTATGTACTAATGTTTCCGACTTAGCTGCACCACTAAGCCAAGTTGCTATAATGCGGCAAAAAAACACTAATTCTCTGACCAAAATGACTAATTCACAAAAAGAAAGTAAAGCTGAAAAAAATTGGCCGAAGGTAGAATCTTTTAACAAATAATGTTTTATTAATAAGCATATAAACTTACTTTACTAGTTTTAAATATTTAGCCCAATTTTAATGGAGGAATTGATGTTTCAACAAGTTTTCTAATATAAAATCTAAGTAGTTTTAGTTATTTAAAATCTGGATTTTTTCCACAATATTATTTCCAAGAGTTTTTTTTTTGCTTTTGATCAAGTTTTTCAACTTATTTAAGATATGGTAAACTTTTGCTTGAAATTCTATAACAGCGCCTGTGACACCAAGTCCGTTGTTTACAAGCCATTCAACACAAATCTTTCTTTATATCGCTTTATTTTAAAGTTTATATTGCTTTACTTTAAACTATTATATATATGAAAACAAACAAATATAAAATCAGCAATTCAAAAAGACTCAAAGAAGGCTGTTATTTAAATTGACTGGGCAGAAAATTATACTTAAATTAAACTTTTACTAAAACAAAACGTGAGCAGCTTATTTTGGTCACAATAATATTTCTATTTTTACGTTGAGTTTGGCATCGTCAAATAAAATCTTTTGCGCTAGTTTCTGAATAAAGCGATCATACAATTATCTGTCGTTACAAACATAGATAAAACTAATGAGCTTTTATCAGATGATATTACACAAGTTTGTTTTTTTAGTAACAATGCAACATCTTAATTCAAAGTTAAGGCATTTTTTTTTCATTTTTCATGGAATTGGAGCCACTGTAAAACGTGTGGCCAGAAAAAATGTTTTAAGGGCAAAAAATGTTATATATGTATATATATATATATATATATATATATATATATATATATATATATATATATATATATATATATATATATATATATATATAGTATATATATATATATATATATATATATATATATATATATATATATATATATATATATATTTATATATATATATATATATATATATATATATATATATATATATATATATATATATATATATATATATATTTATATATATATATACTACAGTCACGATCAAAAGTTTGAAACATTTAAAAAATTTTCATAAAATTTGAAAAATGTGTTTAAATATGCTTTTTTTAATTGAAAATTTTGAGTAATAATATAATATGCATACGTAATTTATGTTATAAACATTAAATTTGTTTTAGTCATAGTTTATTGTTATTTTAGCAAAAAAGTAAAATAATAATTATGGGAAGAACTAATGAATTAATAACAGAAAAACGTGCTCAGATTGCTATTCTACGTGAACAAGGATTGACACTGACTTCTATTGCTGCATGTTTTAATGTAACACATAGCTGTATTATAAAAACATTAAAGAGATATCATGAAACTGGTGATTTTAAAAGCAAAGCTAGAACTGGACGACCAAAGGTAACTACTCAAAAGGCAGATAATCGTATGCATCGTTATGCAAAAGCATATCCGTTTGCCAGTGCTTCTGAAATTTCATCTGAGGTATTCCCCACAGGTGTTGCACCAAGTGTTGTGACCATTAGAAAACGTTTGTACAAACAATTTCATTTAAAGAGCCATGTTCCAGCAAAAAAACTTTGTCTTTCTTAAAAAAATATTAGAGACCGTATAGCCTTCTTTCAGAAATACAAGGACTGGTCAGCGGAAGATTGGGAGAATGTGATATTTAGCGACAAATCACTAATGGAACAATTTGGTGGTCGTTCTGCAAGTGTTAGACGCCCACCTTGTCAGCGATACAACCCCAAATATGTACTTTCGACTGTAAAACATTGTCCTAAAATCAAGATATGGGGTGCCATTACAGCAAATCAAAGTAGCAGTTTATAGTTTATGCCTCCTCTCACCACAACAAATAGCCTTGTTTGTATTGATATACTTCAAGAAAAACTTATATTATTCATAAACATCACGAATACCCACAAGTTTCATCATGATGGAGCACCCTGTCACAGGGCCAAGCATGTAAGCAGTTGGTTACGTGAGAATGGGGTT